TCGTCATCTTTACATCAAACAAATATTTGTTTGCAAATGTGTTTATCTCTCTCTTGGGATATTTTGCCCAGTTTCCAACTGAGTGTAAAATATGATATAAAAATTTATTATTATACGAAGAAAACTATGCCATAGTTAAATCGTTTGGAAAATTCTCATAATTGTCTGTTGTTATTATTATTTTTATTTTCTGCATAAATGATGCTGATGCTCGTGAAACACATTTCAATTTGGTTAATATTTTTGTTCAACAAGATTTAAACTTTTCTCATTTCGTTTTGGAATTGAGCAATGATGGTTAAAGTGTGTGTGTGTGTGTGTTTGGTTAATAGTGAAAATAACAACAAAATGGATTTCACCGGAAAACCCCATGAAGTTTATTGAGGGTTATTGTGGTTGGTTTATTTGTATTGGCATCACCTACATCCACTGGTTACCAAACAAATGTGTTTTAACACTTTTTGAAATTTTATGTTTGTTTAAATTTTATACAGGTGTAGCATTTCTCACTCCGTGCACGAATACGCGAATTTCTCAGAAATTCAATTGAGTTATATAAACACAAAAACATTCTTCTGTGATGTTGTCCAATGCACTATACGTAATATGGACAGTTTTTTGGGCAAAAAGTCATTTTACCAATTTTGGAAAATAATATATTTTTTGGTGGCAATAAAAAGAAAACATGTCTAAAATTTATGATTCTGTAAGATTTGTTATATCCGGTTTCTACTGTGGAAATCTGCGTTTTCTCTTTCTTATACATTTAAATCATTTAAAAAGTCAAAAAAATCGTTTAACACCGCTGTTATTAATTTTGCCTCAAAAACTGGGCAAATTACCTATAGTGCAATGGTATAATAAATATTTGTAATTTCAAAATGGGTTAACGTATCCTACACCCCAAAGACTTCTATTAGGAGTGGATTTTTTTTTATTATTTTTAAAAGAACTATATTGTCGTGGATTTTTTAAAAATTAAGATTTTTTAAGGCGTGGATTTTTTAAAAATATTTTTTCAAGGACTATTATTAGGCGAGGATTTAAAAAAAAATCAAGTACTATTATTAGACGTGGATTTTCAAAACATACTTTTTTCAAGGACTATTATTTGGCGTGGATTTTTTTCAAATAATTATTTCAACCTATTACTAATCTTGGTATTAAAAAAAGTAAGAACTTTCATTTTCAACGACTGTTTAAAAAAATGTATGTGGTCAGATGCTGATCAGGAGCATGCACCAGCTGATTAGTACAATTTGGCTAGACGAATGCATGCCCAATGATTGGAACCTCAGCATCCTGTGTCCCGTACACAAAAAAGGAGACAAGACAATATGTGACAACTATAGAGGAATAAGTCTCCTTCCCATCGCATATAAAGTGCTATCCAGTGTGAAGACTGAAGCCTATGGTCAATGACATTATTGGACCATACCAATGCAGCTTCAAGCCTGGCAAATCCACCATTGACCAGATTTTCACTCTGCACCAAATCCTGGAAAAGACCCACGAAAAACACATCGACACATTCCACCTATTCGTCGACTACAAAGCAGCATTAGACAGTTCTATCAGTTCAGAGGTATTTAATGCCATGTCTGCGTTCGGTATTCCTGCAAAATTAATACGGCTATGCAGGATAACTTTAAATGGCACAATGTCAGCAGTTAAAGGAAAGGACCTATCGGAGCCCTTCAATACCGAACGGGGTTTCAGACATCCTGCTGGAAAAGGTCATATGAGATGCAAATTTGAACAGAAATGTCACTCCGTACACCAAACAGAATATGTTACTCACCTACGCCGACGACATCGACATAATGGGTCGAACATTGCTAGCGGTAACAGTCACCTTTGAACAAATTGAGAAGGAGTCTGTCAACGTGGGTCTGGCAGTAAATGGCGAGAAAATCAAGCTGATGGTATCAACGCGCAAGACGTTCAGTAGACTCGGACCAACTGTGGAACTTGAGAACTACAGTTTCGAGGTATATACCTTGGTACCGACAAAAATAAAATTAATGACATCATTTTGGAAATTCTGAGAAGGATGGAGTTGTCCAACAGATGCTACTATGGTCTATGCAGTCGAATGAACCACGAGCTTTACAATCTATACGCGTACATCCGCATAGTATGTCGTATCGACTAAGCCATGTTGTGCGAATGAATGAGAATGCCCCAGCTCACGCAGAAGGGGAAGACCACGAATTAGGTGGACATATCAAGTAGAAGACAACATCTCGGAACATGGTATTTAAAATTGAAGGAGATTCACACAAGACGGACACGCTTGGAAATCTTTTTTAAGCTCGGCTTATGGAGCAACCGTACCGTAACAAGCAAACTATGTAAGTAAGTACTAAAAATCCAACCCAATGATAGGCTCACCAAAAAATATTTTGAAAAAGTCCAAGCCTTTGGTAGTCTCTCCAAAAACTATTTTGAAAAAAAGGACCTCAAAAAAAATTTTTTTAAAGTCCACACCTATAAAAAAGATTTTTTTCAAATCCACGCCTTTCATAAGGGGTCTCAAAAAATATTTGTAAAAATTACCTCCTATAAATAGTTTTTGAAAAATATTTTAAGCCACGCCTTTAAAAACTCCTTGCTTATAAACAGTCCTTGAAAAAATATTAAAAAAAATGCGTGCCTATAACTAGCCCTTTAAAAATCCGTGCTTATAAATAGTCCTTAAAAAATCCACGCATAATAATAGTCTTTAAGCATATACTTTTCAAATTCACTCCTAATAATTGTCCTTGAAAAAATATTTTTAAAAAATCCAAGCCTAATAATAGTCCTTAAAATTTATTTTTCAATCCACGCCTATAAAGTCCTTGAATTTTTTTATACCCTTCACCACCCTGTGGTACAGGGTATTATGTATTTGTGCATATGTTGGTAACAGGCAAAAGGAAACGAGATAAGCACATGGTTCCTTTTGAGGATATGCATAAAATCACTTTTTAAGTCGATTTATGCTTGCTTGTCCGTCCGTCTGTCCATGTTAAATTGTAAACAAAGTATAGGCCGCATTTCTGATTCGATTTTGATGAGATTTGGCACAGCTTATTTATTTGGCCCAATGACGAACCCTATTGAAATTGTGAAAAATGGGTTCAGATTTAGATATAGCTCCCATATATATTTTCGTCCGATTTAAGGTAAATGGTGCGCCAAAGTCCCTATATATCTCCCGATTTGTACGAAATTTGGCACCACATGCTGAATTAAGTCAAGAATGATGTGTGCTAAGTTTCGTGAAAATCGATTCAGATTTAGATATAGTTTCCATATATAATTTCGCCCGATTTTATGTAAATGGTGCAGCAAAGTCCCTGAAAAGCATTCGATTTGCACGAATTATGGCATAGCGTACTAAATTGAGTATAGAATGATGTGTGCTAAGTTTCGTAAAAATCGGTTCAGATTTAGATATAGCTCCCATATATAGTTTATATCCAAAGTCCCTATATATCTTTCGATTTGCACGAAATTTGGCATAGCATACTGAATTTAGTCTAGAATGATGTGTGTAAAAGTTCTTGAAAATCGGTTCAGATTTCGATATAGATCCAATATATATTTTCGACAGATTTAATGTAAATGATTCACAAAGTCCCTATATATCCTTCGATTTCCAATTTGGCATAGTGTAATGAATTGAGTCTAGAATGATGTGTGTAAAATTTCTTGAAAATCGGTTCCGAATTAGATATAGCTCATTTATATAAGTTCGTCCGATTTTAAGTAGGACCCAAAATATTTCCATTTGGAATAAATGCAAAAATTAGTCCAATCTAACCTGTGACAAGTTTCGTTGAAATTGGTTCATATTTGGATATAGCTTTCATATCTATTTTTAATGCGATTTTAAGTAAATGATGCACCAAACTCCACATGTTTGTAATTTTGACATGAAATTTTGCACAACGTACATTTGTCCCACTGTAACAAACGAGTGAAATGTTTATGGATTGATCAAAGTTGGTTCGCAGTTAGATAAAGGTCACATATTTTAGTTCATCCAATTTCATGTTAATGACCCTTCTGTTAGGATGCATTTGTTTAATATACCCATAGTGGTGAAGGGTATCATACATTCGGCCCCGTCCGACTTTACTACTTTCCTTACTGGTTTAAGCTCGGCTTATGGAACAACCGTTCTGTAACAAGCATGCTATGTAAGTAAGTACTAACAAATCCAACCCAATGATAGGCTCACCAAAAAAGATTTTGAAAAAATCCACGCCTTTGAAAGTCTTTCCAAAAAAAAAAAATTAAATAAATTTCACGCCTTTTATAGGCCCTTAAAATAGGCTTAAATTAAATCCATCCATTAAATCCTGGCCTATAAATGTCGTTCAAAGAATATTAATAGCCCTTAAAAAGAACCAACGCTTCTGATGGGTGACCTCAAGAAATATTTTTAAGAAATCCACTCCATTAATTAAACATTTGGATTTGATTTTCAATTGTATCATGTATTTAAGCATGCAGAACTGAACCGGTTTGTAAAAACCCGCGAGCGAACATTTGTGCGTCACTATTCCCATTATTTCAATTTTATATGGAAGCTTTTAGTACAAAAGAAAGCTTTTCTGTATAAAAGCTTTCAATGGTAAATGCAGACCATTAATAAAATTGGGATTTTTATATATTTTTATTTCGAATGAAAAAATATACAATTAAATATATACTTTTTTAATAACAAATATTAATACAAATATCTAAACGATTTTTTTATAATAATAGATATATATATATATATATATATTTATTACTAAATGTTCTCAGTTATTCAACCAACAAATAACGAAACGGAAAACCTTGACAACGAACCAAACAAAACATTTCGACCCTAAACCAAAACTTATTGACTTTGAAACAAAAATTCCTTAACATTCAAACAGTGAAGTTTTGCTAGTTTCTCGAACCTAACGACATTCCTTTACATTAGAATAAAATCTAAAAAAAAAAACATATTTTATTAAATGTTATTAAATAAAATATTTTTGCGTTATTATCCTCCAGGTAGATTTTAATAAAATTCCGAACAATTTCTTTAAATTATTATTTTAAATAACTAATTTCTATTATTTTTCAGGCATTGCCCTAAATTTTCAATACAATAATGGCGAAGAATATTTACAACATATTGACCTATTGGATTTGAATATCAAGTAAGTAGAACTTGCAAAGACCAGGTAGAACATTTCTGCAAAACATTTTCCTTTTCCTAAATCAAATCTAACAATTACCCATCAATTCCGCAAATGCAAACGTTTTATTTGTTTGTGACTTTTTCCCTTACAGTTCAAATCCCAACGATGTGGCACGTAATCTACTACAACGTATGGACCGTGACAACCAACTACAGCAAGGACATTCGTTACAAACAGAACCCCAACATCATCATCACGAAGATCAAACATGTGAAACATTAACTAAACAAAAAACATATGCCAATGATATGAACGCTGGTGACACTACTATCGAGGATAAGAAAAGTAAAGCGAGTCACAACAACGTCGTCGATATGGACGACGACAATACCAACACTATCATCTATGGTGCCGTGCGTAAGGCCATTGCCAAGTTGCAACGTAAATTGCAGGAGCCCACCAAAAAGAAATTCTATCTCCATACACGTCTCGACACGCACATCCTGCCATTGACTAACATCAGTTTCGATAGAAGCGGTGAACGTTGTATAACCGGAAGTTATGATAGAACGTGCCGCATCATCAACACACACGATGGCCGGGTCGAACATGTGCTAGCCGAACATGATAATGTTGTCTTCTCGGTGGCTTATAATTTTCCCAAATGGTAAGATGAAATGGAAAAATGTGTGTGTGTGTGTGTGTATGTATGAAAGTATGTGAGAGTATGTTTGTAACTGTAATAGGAATTATACGTACCGGATAAGGACATTCTATGTGAATTAAGTTCTGTTGCTAAAAATAGATCTAATGCAAATGTAAACTTGGGAATGTCCGGAAGTCTAGGATATAATTGAAATATGCCGTTGAATGACTGACCACATGTATTAAACGTCATGATGTCTGTTTAAGGATATTCTTTAAAGGGTCAACACAGGCGTGAATTTTTTGAAGAATATTTTTCAAGGGTCAACATAGGCGTGGATTTTATAATGAATATTTTTTCAAGGGTCAACATAGGCGTGGATTTTATAAAGAATATTTTTTCAAGGGTCAACATAGGCGTGGATTTTTTAAAGAATATTTTTTCAAGGGTCAACATAGGCGTGGATTTTTTAAAGAATATTTTTTCAAGGGTCAACATAGGCGTGGATTTTTTAAAGAATATTTTTTCAAGGGTCAACATAGGCGTGAATTTTTTGAAGAATATTTTTCAAGGGTCAACATAGGCGTGGATTTTATAATGAATATTTTTTCAAGGGTCAACATAGGCGTGGATTTTATAAAGAATATTTTTTCAAGGGTCAACATAGGCGTGGATTTTTTAAAAAATATTTTTTCAAGGGTCAACATAGGCGTGGATTTTTTAAAGAATATTTTTTCAAGGGTCAACATAGGCGTGGATTTTTTAAAGAATATTTTTTCAAGGGTCAACATAGGCGTGGATTTTTTAAAGAATATTTTTTCAAGGGTCAACATAGGCGTGGATTTTTTAAAGAATATTTTTTCAAGGGTCAACATAGGCGTGGATTTTTTAAAGAATATTTTTTTAAGGGTCAACATAGGCGTGGATTTTTTAAAGAATATTTTTTAAGGGTCAACATAGGCGTGGATTTTTTAAAGAATATTTTTTCAAGGGTCAACATAGGCGTGGATTTTTTAAAGAATATTTTTTCAAGGGTCAACAGTAGGCGTGGATTTTTTAAAGAATATTTTTTCAAGGGCCAACATAGGCGTGGATTTTTTTAACATATTTTTTCAACATAGGCGTGGATTTTTTAAAGAATATTTTTCTAAAGAATAAAGAACATTTTTCTAGGCCATATGTAGGCGTGGATTTTTTAAAGAACATTTTTCTAGGCCATATGTAGGCGTGGATTTTTTAAAGAACATTTTTCTAGGCCATATGTAGGCGTGGATTTTTTAAAGAACATTTTTCTAGGCCATATGTAGGCGTGGATTTTTTAAAGGCGTGGATTTTTTAAAGAACATTTTTCTAGGCCATATGTAGGCGTGGATTTTTTAAAGAACATTTTTCTAGGCCATATGTAGGCGTGGATTTTTTAAAGAACATTTTTCTAGGCCATATGTAGGCGTGGATTTTTTTAAAGAACATTTTTCTAGGCCATATGTAGGCGTGGATTTTTTAAAGAACATTTTTCTAGGCCATATGTAGGCGTGGATTTTTTAAAGAACATTTTTCTAGGCCATATGTAGGCGTGGATTTTTTAAAGAACATTTTTCTAGGCCATATGTAGGCGTGGATTTTTTAAAGAACATTTTTCTAGGCCATATGTAGGCGTGGATTTTTTAAAGAATAAAGACTGTTTTTTTTAACGGTCAATGTTTGTGCAGGCACCAGAAGTATTCGTTCGATATTATCTATCTCCGAACACGATCTAAGTTTCGAGAATGTATTGCCTATATCAAAACTCGATTTCATTTCATTTTCCAGCGATCGCATTGTCACTGGGTCCTTTGATTGTACAGCAAAAGTATGGTGCCCGGCTTCAGGCCTATGTCGCAGTACACTAATCGGCCATACAGCAGAAATTGTTTCGGCCGAATTTCAACCGATTAACAGCGAGACAATATGTACCGCATCTATGGATGGTACGGCTAGACTTTTTCACATTGAATCTACACAGGAATTGCAGACGCTATCACATCATGGATCTGAGGTTATAAATTGTCGTTTCAGTCGGGATGGTAATATGCTGCTGACGGGATCATTTGATAGAACAGCTAGTTTGTGGGATATACGTTCCAAGAGGTAAAATAAGAAAATCCAATTTATTTCTTTTATTAAATGTTCTTTAATTAAAGTTTAATAACCCAGCTACGTGGCCACTCGGCAGAACTTAGCAATGCTGTGTGGAATTTCTCATGTGATCTAATTGCCACTGGTTCTTTGGATAGTACCGCCTGCATATGGGATGTGAGAAAAACTGCGGAGCCTTTATTTTGTATTAAAGAACATACCGATGAAATATTAGATGTCACTTTTGATTGCAGTGGTCGACGTTTGGCCACCGCAAGCAATGACTGTACGGCCCGAGTGTGGAATGTTAGAGGGGATTTGGAAATGTTATCGGTAATGGCAGGGCACACCGAAGAAGTATCAAAGGTAAGGAATAAAACATTATTACTTACAAATTAAAAAATATATATATTTTGAGGTTTCTTTTATTTCATTCTACCAACATTTAATATACATTTATATATAGGTCCACATAGACCATTTATTTGAAATTTAAAAAATGGTTTCTTTTCTCAGGTCTGCTTTAGCCCACCTGGCAGCCTTCTGATGACTGCTTCTGCTGATCACACTGCCCGTTTGTGGTTGATTGAATCCGGTCTATGTTCCCAAGTATTAGCTGGACATGAAGCAGAAGTATTCTCCTGTGCCTTTAGTTATAACGGTGATGTAATACTTACTGCATCCAAGGATAATACCTGTCGCTTATGGAGATGATATGACTGGTATATGGTGGATATGAAAAATGAGTAAAAAAATATCACCATTTAATGAAAATAAATACGAATATAAAAGTCTGTTTCAGAAAAAAAATTAAATTATTATTTTACATGAAAGTATGAACATGTGCCTTTCATATGACACCAATTTTATTTAAATATCTAGACAACGTCAAAAGTTATAGGAAAAACAAATGAGTTTAACTTTAACATCATCGAATCCGCCCAATGAGGAATGAAGTTGATTGACTTCACGGCAGCAAAAAACATGGTAGTTAGCAGCGCCCAATTCAAGCATCTCGACATACACAAGGCCACTTGGATTTCTCCCGATCGAACAACGAGAAATCAAATCGATCATGTTGTGATAGACAGAAGGCATTTATCCAGTGTTTTAGACGCCCAATCGATCCGAAATCAAATCGATCATGTTGTGATAGACAGAAGGCATATATCCCGTGTTTAAGACATCTAATCGATATTCGCTGCTCTTAATGTAGCAGCAAATGCTGCTCTTAATGTAGCAGCAAAAGTGCGATATAATGTAACAAGGTAATTTTACGTCGAAAAGTCGCAAACACAACAGATAGCTGAAGCCTAGCACCCCTTGTCCCGATAATAATATAGAAGCAGAGAATTGCCACTCCCTACAAACTGCAGCAAAAGCAACACATGGGTACCAAAGACAATCATCAAGAAATTCGTGTTACGATCAGGAGTGTCGTAATGCTACTGATATGAAAAACACAACATATAGGGCAACCCTGCGGACAGTAGCAACACGTAGTGCGATGGAGAACTATCGGGAGAAAAGGAGAGAGGAGAAACGTATTTTCAGAAAAAAGAAGAAAGAACAAGGAAAACGTGAGCGAAAATTCTACCAACGGGTAAAACACCAAACCGAAGGCTTTGATGCAAGCACATCCTCCTGAAGAGATGAAGAAGGAAACCTGGTGATAGATACAGACAGCGAGGATCTGGAAGGAGAATTTTTAAAAACTTCTGGTATCAAATAGTAGCCGTGAAGAGGATACCCCAGAACCAATAATAGAGTGTATACCACCTAGCCAAGAGGAAGTCAGAATAGCAATCAATCGGCTGAAGAATAATAAAGCAGCAGGTGCCAATGGGTTACAAGCCGAACTATTCAAGACTCTCGGAGCCCTTTAATACCGAACAAGGATTCAGACGAGGTGACCGTTTGTCGTGTGAAATTTTTAACATACTGCTGGAAAAGGCCATACGAGAGGAAAACGTGAACAGAAATGGCACTCTGTACAACACATGTTACTCACCTACGCCGATCACATCGACATAATGAGTCGAACACTGGGAGCAGTAACAGCCACCTTTGAACAAATTGAGAAGGAGTCTGCCAAAGTGGATCTGGCAGTAAACGGCGAAAAGACCAAGCGGATGGTATCAACGCGCAAGACGTCCAGTAGACTCGGACCAACTGTGGAACTTGAGAACTACAGCTTCGAGGTAGTTAAAGCGGACTTGCGCACAAGACCGACGCGCTTGGAAATCTTTTTTAAGCTCGGCTTATGGAACAACCGTTCTGTAACAAGCCAGATAAGTAAGTAAAAGTAAGTAGGTCCACTCCTTCTTATATTCTTGGTCATATCATGCGAACGACCATACGAACTTTACACAACAAAATATAAAAAAAAAATTCCGTGCCTTTATATTGTTGGAAGATGTGACTTATCGCCGCAGAGTCAATTTTTTCAATTTTTATAAATCCAATATTAAGCGAATGAAACTTTACACATCGAAATATTTTTACAAATCATAGCAGAAGACCGAATATGGGACCCATCGCTTCACTCCTTCGGGGACCTCCCTCACAAAATTATCAAAATTTTTACTGAAAATTATTTCATGTTCGAAGATGGGACCCACGGTCCACTCCTTATTGTACCTCCCACATACAATTATCAACATTTTGCTGAAAATTATTTATTCTCCTGGCTTTCCTTTTCATTGCAAAACTTAGATCATCAAGCTCGACTCGAAATAGTATAAATAACCACTTAAAATTATTTATGTAATATCATGCAAACGGTCTATCCGACTTGAACAAAACTTTGCTCAGCCTAATTTTTAACTATGCCTGTATAATGTTGCAAGATGAGTCGATTTTGGTACCTCCAGATATGAATTGAAAGGAATAGGCTGTCCGCATGCCACTTTTTATGTCTTTGTGCATATGTTTGTAACAGACAAAAGGAAACGAGATAGACACATGGTTCCTCTTCAGAATATTCATTGAATAACTTTCTAAGTCGATTTATGCATGTCCGTCCGTCTGTCCATGTTAAATTGTAAACAAAGTACAGGTCGCATTTATTATTCGATTTCATTCATTCATTTGGCCCAAGTGCGAACCCTATTGAAATTGGGAAAAATCGGTTCAGATTTAGATATAGCTCCCATATATATTTTCGTCCGATTTAATGTAAATGGTCCTACATATCATTCGATTTGCACGAAATTTAGTACAGCGTACTGAATTAAGCATAGAATGATGTGTGCTAAATTTCGTGAAATCGGTTCAGATTTAGATATAGCCCCCATATATATTTTCGCCCGATTTAATTTAAATGGTGCACCAAAGTCCCTACAACATATCTCTCGATTTGCACGAAATTTGGCACAGTATACTGTATTGAGTCTAGAATGATGTGAGCTAAGTTTCGTGAAGATCCGATTTACATAAATGGTGTGTACAAAGTTTCATGAAAATCGGTTCAGATTTAGATATAGCTCCCATATATATTTTCGTCCGATTTAAGGTAAATGGTGCACCAATGTCCCGATTTGCACGAAATTTGGCGCAGCATGCTGAATTTAGTATAGAATGGTGTGTGCTAAGTTTCGTGAAGATCCTTTCAGATTTAAATATAGCTCCCATATATATTTTCGCCCGATTTACATAAATGGTGCAACATACTCCTAATGTTTGTCCACTAAAGACGAAATTTTGCACAACGTATCAAATTGTACTTGAATGACGTTATTGGGTTTGGTGCAGATGCAGCCATAGCTTCCATTGGTATTTCGAACGGGTGTTTGATTGAGATACATTTTTTAACAGTGTGGCGTACCGAATAGTGTGTATTAATTTTGCTATAAATCGTTTTCCATTAATTTGACTCATGGTACGCAGACGACTCTAAATCTGCCCGAATGAAATTAAATTTATCATAGATTGTAGAAAGACACGATGGAAGATTGACATACAATTGTAAGAATACATATGTACAATATATCCATAGTGGTGAAGGGTATCATATAGTCGGCCCAGTCCGACTATACTGGTTTACTTATGGGTCGATTACGGATGGCAACCAGAGTTTAGTTGCGTTGCCAGTTGCCAAATTTACATTATGGATGGCAACTGTTGTCAACTTCAGTTGCTTCAAATAGAATTTTTCGGCAACCATTTATTTCTGGTTGCTGTTTATAATAACTGAACTTTGTAGGCTTCCCATAATGGTTAATATTACTACAAAAGAACAATTTGAGGTCCTTATTGCCCGGATGGAAGCTCACCCAAATGTAGCACGCGGCGTGCGGACTTTTGGTCAAACCAAAGCCACTAGCGATGATGTGTTGAAGGCCATTTCAGAAGACCTTAACTGCTATGGCATTCCAAAAGAATGGCTGAAAGTGGTGAACATCTTCTTTTGGGTCCATGATATGTACGTGTGTATCATCAATACATCCGACAACACCCTGGAACTTAGTTTTCGAATAAAAAATTTTATTCTTCCATTTTTCCTCCTCCGTTAATTAGATACAATCAAAATTTTACAGAGTTTTTCCTCTATTATCCGGATAACTTCGGCGAAAACCACCGACATTGTCCGTTGAGCCATGCCAAGGTTGAAGTCATTGCTATGGGACTTTTGAAAACTTCCCTCCACAAAAAACATCAGGGGGGCTACTCTGTATTGCGATGCGTGAGAAAAATTGTAACGCATCGCGTAATTGGTACTCTCTAATTCGTTTTCGTATCTCCTTTCGCATCTACTTTACGCAAATGTAGCATCACCGCACTCTGTAATACGAAAACGCATGTCAAACTCGTTCGTTAAGCGCAAATATCTTGCGTTAACAAAATAGCAAACGCAAAGGAAGCGAAACATATAAGTAAGCTCCATTAAAGGTTTTATTTATATAAAAATTGTAAATTATTTTAAGTAAAAGGCAAAAAAGTCACAGTTACAGGCTCAGCAACGTCAGTTCCTAACTTCAGTAGATTTTATGGGGCAACACAGTGATTTGGCAAAGGGACAGTTGCAGAGTTCAAATGCGAAACAACGCGCCAACAATTTGTGGACAAAACTGTCTGATGACCTCAATTCAAATTGACCTCCTGTAAAAGATGTCGGTGGTTGGAAAAAGTAATATATTATTTTTTTATATAAAATGTGAAACTATGTGTGCATATTTATAGGTTGATGTTGATAACCACATTGTCCAAGCAATTTCAAAGCAGCGGCCTCTTTTATTGGAGTTGGAATTGTTGTGGATCTATTTGAAACGACGAGCGTTTAAAAAATACATAAACGAATCTTTATTGAGACATTTTATATAAATCTATAAAAATTAAATATTTGAAAACATTTGTCACATAATTCGCACTTAGGGAGAGTATATTTGATAGATCTCATAAAATTCTTTTTTTTAATTCGTTCATCATTTTTGTTCAAAAACAGTGTTCGGAAAAAAACGGTACACTATCGTAGTGTACCGTACCAGGAACACAAACACTAAAAAAATTTTAGGGTTAGTGTTCCGGTACACAAACATTAAAAATATTTTAGTGTTACTGTTCCGGAGCACAACGAATTTCGTAGTGTACCGCTGTCGGAGCACTAAAAATCGTAGTGTACCGCGGTCGGAGCACTAAAAATCGTAGTGTACCGCGTTCGGAACACTAAAAAATCGTAGTGTACCGCGGTCGGAACACTAAAAAATTGTAGCGTACCGCGGTCGGAACACTAAAAATCGTAGTGTTCCATTTGGCGGAA